TTGACCAACATGTCATGCTAACCCCAAAATCCCACATACTCCCTCAGCGCTCCGCTCCGCCCCGCTGCGCTCCAGACCGCCTGCACAAAGCAAAGCCTACAGCCTCCACTGTGGCTCCCGTCCGCTCCGCTCTGAGTTCCTTGGAGATCATAGAGGGCATGCGCCAGATGATTAAATTCAAGGCAGCAGAACATGCGGAAATGATCCATGGTTTTCGCGGATCATTAAAAATAATTACAATTCATTAATTTTTTGGGATTTTTTCATTAATTTTTATAATTTTTTTTATTTTTCGGTGTAACAATAAACATATACCGAACCGAAAACCATGACCACGAAACACTGAACCGAACCGAACCGTGGATTTTGTGAACATTTTGTGAACTGTTCCACCCCTAATATATACAGTCTATATATTGTCACTGTAAAGTGGCAAGCTGCAAACTCACTGTACTCAGAAAAACAAAAATGGGGTAAAGCAACAACCCCCATCACATTGAATGAGTTAATGAGTTAAATGATGAAATGCATCAAAAATAACTTTGAAAGTATGTCTGCGAGGAGGTCAGATTAGTTGCTTGACCAAACTGAACTCTTTCTAACATTAAGAAAAAATTACCTTACTGTTATGTTTTCTACTTGCTCAACAGAGAGCTGTAACTTCTGGGCCCACTTTTAAGCCCTGCTTCCTCATGAACTGTCTCTATTTAGAAAAAGCTAAACTGATTCTTGTTTTATTCCGGTTCATGATATAGATGTGAATCGCATTAGCTCATATGTTTGTCCCTTTCTGCAACTGTTATTACATACAGACGATAAGGCCCCCCTGTAGTGTGCAAACATACATATATATTTACAAATTCTTAATTCATAGCTATGAGAACAATTTAATTTAAAATGGCATATTATTAGACTTTGGGGGAACATGTATTTATGAAAGCAATACTTGATTTTTGCCAATTAAAAGCCAAAAAAGTTACACACTGTCCCTTTAAATGCTGCTTTGTGTTTTTAACTTTCTTTTTGGCACCCTCCTAGAAAGGCTAGAAAAGGGCACTATATATGATTTCTACAACTGGTTTAGCTTGGGATGTTGATCTTTTTAAAAGGGAACTGATATCAGCAGGGGACCATTTCACGAAGCAGGTTTACCCAAAATGCTTTTTCTAAACCTGAAATATGGAAAACTCAGACTTTTCGGTTTCACAAAGAGAGTTTCCTCAACCTGTTTCATTTTTTTTTTTTCTCAACAGTGTCCTGTCTGGCAACGTGGCAATAAGAATAATTGTCTTGATGCCAAAAAGATTTTACTTTCACAAGTGGAGCAGTAGGGCTATTGCCATAGTGTTCCGCTTGTTTCATGCATATAAATTGCTTTATTATAATTATGCAGGGAGTTTTTGTCAGAGCTCAACTTCTGTTTCAGTCACCGTAGTAACATTCTCACCAGAGCTAACCTGGTTGGTAGCAGGTTTTGTTCAGTAAACTCAGAGTGCTTTTAATCAATATATCAACTTACGCATCGACTCAAGCAACAATCTTCCTCTCCTTTTTAGCTGTAGCGCTGTTTCTCAGTCTATTAAACACGTTCTCCTTTTTTTGTGCATTCGTTGATTAAAATCTCTACATCCAGAGGGGTGAAATAGGTACTTCCTGAATTGGTGCTTTACTGATAATGGTTTTTCATACTTGTTACACACATGCAAAACTCTGAGTGGACCTTGTTAAAATTGATTGTACGAATTCATAACTGCCATTGTGAAACTGAAAACTCAAGAGTTCCTGACCTTAGGCTAGATCAATTTAGAGTTGAGTATTTGTTAAACCTGCTTTGTGAAACAGACCCCTGCTCTACCCTAGGCATCTGCTCTCTGCCGACACCTGGTGGTTCATGTAGGGAATGATAATAAATTTAATACTTACTTACAATGCAAAATTAGAATAAATCATTTAGTATTATTTTCGAAATTATAAACCTAGCAAATACCAATGCGCCACTGAGCACCAATACCTGGGATTTAAAATCATAAATACATTTTAAAAACTACTGACATTAATACTTGAAATACTTACAGATATTTTTATTCTTCTGCTGTTCCTGTTGCTTACTGTTATGTGCTTCTTTTTGTATGAGTCTACTAATTTGGGCATGTGCAAATGTCTTAAAATTGTAGCCTTTTGGTTTGTCTTCAGCTGCTTTGATATTTTCCACTCTATCCAACAGTTGGTGGATCCACTGCTCGTCATTGATGTTGAGAACAACATATCTTCCTCCACAGCTCTGAAGGAGCTCCTGGATGTTTCTATCAGTCTCTATGAAGTTGACATCTCCAGCTGTGGGATCTGACTTTTTGGTGAACAGGATGATGGTGAAGTCATTGACTCTAGAGCTGAATGTGTCCTGGATGGTCTCTAACTCTCCCTTGTCTTCATCAGTGAGGGGACCCACAGGTAGGACCAAGATGAAGGCGTGGACACCCTCAGGATCACAGAGGGAGATACACCTGAATGATTCCTCCATCACTTCCTGCTGAGCGTTTCCACATAAGGCAGGCAGCTCCACCACAGAAACCCAATGTCCAAAAACGTCTCCCTGGTTTCTAACACACTCTGATGAGTTGGAGGGTGAAGGAAGATCTTTTTGACCTAGAATGGCCTTGGCTGCTGAAGTCTTCCCTGCTCCTCTCCTCCCACATAGAACCAGGTTTAGTAAAGATTGCATCTGTTCATCTTGTGGCCTGCTGGTCTCTTCCCTAAAGGTCAGATATGCCCCTTTGTTTTCATGGACAACTGTCTCAACCTGCTTCATCAACTGACTCTGGTCAGTATTACTTATGTTGTGGAATCTTCCTTGAACCATATTGATGAGCTCATTGACAGATGGACTGTTTTTACTGTCATTTGTTAAGATGACTATTGAATATTTGAAGGCATCTTGACCAAACAAATGCAGGATGAACATCAGTGTTTCTCTGTCTTTTTCAGTGAATTCTGAAGGTTTCACCAACAGCAGCAGAACATTTGGTCCAGGATAACAGAGTCTCACACAGTTCTTCACTTCTTCTTGGATTTTCTCCTCAGACAGACTGAACATGTCAGGGGTTTTTACTACAGTTACTGGTTTTCTGCTCCACTTTCCACAGGAGGCCACAATGTGCTTCTGTTGATGAAATTCCATCTCTCCAATGATCAAGTTACCAATTTTATTTTTTTTCTTCTCACTTTTTCCCAACAACACAATCCTGAAACGAGATGCTGTAATAGAATAGAGAAAAGTATAAGAAAACACAAACATTCACAGATATTGCTCCAGCCCTCAATAATCTCAAATTTAAATGGTATCTCGCTCTTCCTAATTAGTTTTTTGCTTCAACATCAACATAGGATGAAGTAAGATCACAAAAGATTAAAGGGGGTAGTCTATACATCAAGTCCAGTAACAAAGTTGTCACCAACTAGAACCAATTTACACAAAAAGTTCCCAACTTCACCACATAAACTTAAAAAAATTTGAATAAATCAAACACTGAGTAAGCTCTTCCTCCAACTGTTTACCCAAATATTTTCGTAATAATGCTCTGCCTGTTATAATATCTAATTTAACGAAAATGGAACACATTTACCTTTTGTGAGGTCTTTTCTCCCAGGCCCCTAAAACAGTAATTATGAAACTGTTGTTGAAAAAAGAGCAACTTAGGCCCCGTCCGCACGAAGTCAAAACGAACACGAAACGCTAATATTTTCCAGAACGTTTGTCTTAAAGACGGAGACGTAAAATAAATGTGATCGACCACACGAATGCATGAAAACGCTGCAAAATGTATGCCAGGCCTGTAATTGGCACTGTGGTGCCAAAGCAAAAATAGGCGAAAACAGGCAACGAAATGTTGGGCATGCGCAGTAATATTCATACATGGTTGCCCTGCGGGTCCATTTTCGTGGTTCAGTCAAATTCCGGTGCTGAACTATGTCGTCGATATTGCGAGGGTGAGTAGCATGAGCAGCAACCATCCAACACAGTACGGCGCCATTGTTGTTGTGATACTGTGTCGCGCATGCGTGTTTAGAGGCGACGCTATGACGCATGCGTGTAAA